GCGTTGGCGGCGGCGTCGCGGCGCCGCTGCTCCTGCTCGGCGCTGAAGCGCTCCTGCGCGCTGCTCAGGTAGTAGCCGATCATCTCCTCGTGGAACTGGTGCCGGTGGCTCGTGAGCAGCAGCCCGGCGAAGATGAACTTGCGCTCGCCCTGCATGGCGGCGCGCAGGATGTTGAGGCTCAGCTTCACGTCCGTGCTGTACTTCCAGGCGTCGCCGCGCGGCCCGCCGCCCTTCTCCGCCGGCGACGCGCCCGCCGCCTTGTCCGTGGGCGACGGCGTGGTCTTCTCCGACGGCGACGTGCTGGCCGACGCGCCCGACTCCTCCTTGCTGCCCTTGCGCGACTTGGCCTTCTTCTCCTTGGCGCGCTCGGCCGCGTCGCCGTTCTTGCCGTTGGCCGAGTTGGAGCGGCCCATCTTGCCGTGCACCAGGCCGCCCAGCCCGCCCATGTTCTTCTTCAGCTTAATGCCCAGGGTCTTGCTGAAGCTGCCCAGCTTGTTGGCCACGGAGTCCGCGCGCGTTTTGTCCTTCTCCTTGCGCTGCTTGTCCTTCTCCTTGTCCTTGCCGCTCTTGCCGTTATTGCTGTTGGAGTTGCTGCACACGGAGTCGCGGTCCGAGTCCAGGGAGTCGGCCAGAGACTGCACGTCCTCCCCCGCCGAGGCCGTGGGCGACTCCGGCTGTGCCAGGGGAGCCTGGGGCGGGGGACAGCGGGGGAGGGCGGGTTAGAGAAGCGCGGTCCCCCGCGGAGGCCAGGCCCTGCCCGTGCTGGTGAGGCTAGGCTGCGGCACCCCTGGCCCCCAGGAGCGGGACGAGGGTGCTTAAGGGAAACGGGGTGGCCCCGGCGGCTCAGTCATAAAGAGACAGGCCCCGAGGGGTCTGCAGGAGGCTCCAGCAGGGTCTCGTCTGCAGGTGCCACCTGCTGGGACCCTGGCTGCCCTCACTTTGTCTCAGGTCGAGGCCTGGTAGCCTAGAACCCAGAGTGGGAGGAGGGAGCGGGCAGGGTGCAGTAACCCCGCTGGCTTGCAGCCCCTGAGCCTCCGCACATTTTAGAGGGGGGTTGAAACCTTGCCTTAGAACCTCACTGTTTGGCTTTTGGAGCAAACACCCCCTGGATTCAGTGATGGTACATCAGTTTAGGGGTTCCTCTCAATTTAGGGGAGCCTTGTGGGAACTATTTATCAACCAGTAAAGGCAGAAGTAGGACAGAAACTGAGAAAGATTGAGATTGTGAAACAGGGCTGCACTCAGATGTTCCCAGTTCCAGTAGTGGCCGCCGGTGGGTCCCGCAGCGGGATACCGGGAAGGACCCCCTTACACGGTGGATGACGTCCACCAATGGGAGTCCGAGAAGAAGGTGGGAGGCGGGCTCAGGGCAGCAGCGCCTCCTGCCGCGATGCGGAGGGACCTTCCTGGGCCAGCAGAGAATTCTGACCCAGCATCCAGGGAAGGACGGGTCCCTCAGGCTGGCAGCGGGGGCACAGGAACTGGCATCTGCTAAACGGGCTTTCCTGGCCTCCGGGGGAGGAGCCTCAGAGAAGCCCATTGCTCCCCACTTTATTTTTGTTCTACCCCATGCAGGTGCGAGAGGAGGGTGACCTTGAGGCCTGGTCACTCAGAAGCAAGGGCCAGCAGAACTGGCCTCAGTACCTCCCAGGCAGAAATGCCCTCTCTCCCCTTCCCGCGTACGGCATAGGGCGGAAGGAGTTGTGAAAGGGCGAGGGCTGATTCTCAGACACTGAGGGGTGGAGCCAGGGAAGGGCGGGCTTTGGTGCTAGGAGCTGCCCTTGCGGAGCTCGGTGTGTAAACAGCACAGGTGTCCCCACGCTGGCCAGTTACTGGCCAGGGCTGTCTGCCGAGAGCTCTGCATTTGACCTGGAGGCCACCAAGGCCCGGCAGAGGGCCCAGCGCTCACTGCAGGGCAGAGCTGTGCCCAGCAAGCAACTGTCCTGATTCTGGGTTTAGGCTGGCTGCAGTCACACCTACACAGGTGCCAGAGAGCAGTGTTCCCAGCAACACTGGCACCCTCCAGGCTGTCACTTGTGCCCTCAGGTGCCCTCAGGAGGCGGGTATCAGCAGCTGCCCAGGGGGCCCTTGCGGGGATTACCTATCATCCAGTGAAGGCGGAAGTAGGAGGGCACCGAGCAGTGCCCAGGGCCCAGGGCACCACGCAGCCCCAGCGTGGTCCTGCTTGCTGTCCTCAGGGCTCGTCCTGAACACTGCTAGGAGCCCTGCCTAGTGCCTAAGTAAACTGACGTCTGGGGAGAGAGGGTTATTTGCAGGTGAGCTTTACAAATCCCTTTCCCTGGAGTTCCCTACTGAGATTACAAAAATATCCATCAGTCAGATACTTAAAATGAATCTTTCCGAGCCTCTGCAAGCCAGGGCAGCCCAACCCTGCCCCCGAGCTGTTGGCGCTTCTCTCCACAGCCCCTGCCAGGTCTGCCCACTACCCCGGGACTCGCACTCTTAGTTCCCTGGCTTTTCCAGGGACCCACACGCAGTGTATAATTAATTACACTCCTCGGCAGCACACTGTGTTCTGATCTCAGCGGAGATAGGCTGCTGTTGGGACTTGCCTACCGCTTGTTTTCTGAGTGGGCGTGTTTGTTCCTTCCTTCTGTAGAAAATACGGGGACAGAAATCTCCTAACCGGAAAGCACACTTGCACACACACACACACACATGCCTACACATGGGTGTGCATACGCACCAGATCCACCCCAGGTATTCTGCGTCAGAGCCAGGGTGGCCTTGGCTGTGTTTGGCTGGGAAAAGGGGTTGGGAGGGGGAGGGGAGTGTTTGGTAGGACGAATGCCGGCCAGGCTGACCTGAGCCCACCACCCCATCCCTGGGCTGGGCCCTGGCACGCAGGGAGCTCACCCGCGTCTCGGAGGGAATCCGGATCCATGTCACGTTCATGTAGCTGTGCAGGAGGTTCAGTTTGGCTTCCAGAGAGAGGATGAGGCTGACAAGAGAGGAACACCAGGTGAAACGGGCTGGAGCCGGTCTGAGCTCACCCACGGACCAGTCCTCCCGCCCGCAAGCCCGCTGTGCCGCTGAAGTGCAGTCCACCCAGCCCTCCCCGGAAGCCCTGCGGTAGCCCTCCCTGGGGGGCAGGCTCTTACTGGGCCAGCCGGGCATTATCGTTGTCGTCTTTCCCCCACTCCCAGTCCTTCCCCGGGTCCACTGCAAAGTGCAGGGGCAGCAGCTTGTGCTCAGAATCTGTCAGGGGGATCACAGCTGGAAGAGAGGAGAGACAGGCGGTGTCAGGTAGATCGCTGGCGGCCGAAGGCTGGGAGTCCCAGCAACACCCAGAGAGGACAGGACGGGGATTCCAAGCCCAGATGTCCCTGCGATAAGTGAGCTCCATGGAGATCGCTACCGGCAGGAGCTTCAAGGTGTCGAAATGGTTAGTGTTAGAAATTTCTTATTTATTGTGGACAAGGCAGAGCAGTTGGAGGCACCACCCGGACTTGGTCTCTTTGGTGCACCGGGCAGACACTGTGCTGGTGGCCTGCTCCTCACCTCTGTCTCATCCCCGAGGAAGGACAGCTGCACATCAGGGGGCAGAGACGCCTGCGTGTGTTCACACCACAAGACTATCAGTCCCCGCTCAGTGTGCTCACTTCTGCTGGGCAGAAGCAAACACCTCAGTGTCAGGCCCACCTGCCTCAGAAAACTAAGCAGCGGGCTGGGGTCACAAGTGGTGGCCGCCCTTTTGGGGCACAGTGAGGAAACCCTTTAGAGGTGGCACGTGGTGGGACTGCGGTGAGGAGCACCATTTCTCAGAGGGGTTGTTTGTCTCTCAGCGTCTTGAGTAGAGCCTGCCACCCGTGGGAGATCGAAGCGCTGGGCACAGGGGCTGTCTCCAGGGGTATCTGGATCTGCTAGGAGCTTGTTCACTGCAGCAGGGCCCAGCGAACGGAGTGCCTACTGTGACACGCGGCTCCTAAGGGCATGTGAGGGGCGATCTGAAGGCGTTTTCAGTTTCTCCCCTCTAGGCGAGCGCCCACTCCTCACGGGGGCTCCCCTCCTAGGAGTCCCACGGCAGAGAAACGCAGCCCAGGGCCGCCGGCCACTTGCTCTGTTCCTTTGCCAGAGCCCCTGAGTCATGCCTGCGGCACCCTGTTAAGAACAATAAGGAAGTAAACACGCTATCTCTAAGACGGTACCAAGTTGCCTTTCTGCTCAGAAGTCGGAACAGTTGACTCGATGCTGCCCTCCAGTGTGGCTACAGAGAAAACGGAGGCACAAACATTTCAGCCTTTCTCCTCCCGCTCCCACTGCAGGGAAGGGAGAGGCAGGGTTGTGCACCAAGGCCCGCGTCAGGGCTTTCATTTACCCCGCTGGAGATGGACACTGTAACGTTTGGTTGGAGAGGTGAGAGGCACTTCGCCCTGCCTCTGCGGAAGCCTGCTGGGTTCTGCTTCACTGTGGCCCCTTCCCAGGGCTCAACAGCAAACCGCAGGGTGGATACGCCCAGGGAGGGCCGCAGGGCTCAGGAATGGGGCTCCTCTGGTCAGTCCCCAGGAGCCTGCCCCCTGGCTCTGTGAGTCACCACACAGACAGAGGGCTCTGCCTGCTCCCCGCCCTGGGCTGGCACTCTGCCTGTCCACACTGCCTTGACTCGCTGAAGCCAGCACAGCCCGAGTCCCAGGCCTCTGCACACGGTTGGCCAAGCCGAGAGCTGAAGAAAAGGGCCCAAGAATTACATTTACATAACAGCTCCCGTGGCTCTTAAGATCAAGCCATGGCAATGTTGGAAAATACTATTCTAGACAGTAATCGTTTAGAAAACCAGATTATCCTACGGGTGCAGCTCGTGCCTTTGGGGTCTGACTATCCTTCCCTCCCCACGGCAGAGCTTCCACGAGAAACACCATCCAGCCAGGACTTCGTTCCCAGCTCCCCAGCCTCAGCATGTGGGGACAGGAGCCTCGCTGAGCCTGCTGGCCATGAGTAGGGCGGTGTGGGAAGTGCGGCGCTGCACGGCTGGCAGCAGGGGCGCTCTCTCCCTCCCGCTCCCCATCTGTGTCACCTGCAGAAGATGGGAGAGCTAAGGGAGAGAGAAGCGGGTTCCCAGATCCCCCAGTGGGAAAACAGCTGCCTGCCCATCAGGGGCACTGTCTTTGCATGGGAACCCAACCTCTGTGGTAAGCCCCTGTGACTTTGCTTTGTTTCAGATAAACCACCAGAGCTGTGATAGCTCCGTACTGTGTTGCCCTCACATCTCACTGTGGGGCTCCCGGGATTCTCACCTTCAGCAGCGAGGGTGCCCACCGCGGTGTGGACCGCGTATATCTGAAGGTGCTAGTGCCTGGCCCTGCAAGGGTCCCGCTAACTCTCAGCCCAGGTCCTGGTGGGGTGAAGGGCAGGCCCTGAGCAAGGTTTTAGGGACAGGTTTGCTCACAACTGAAGACACCCTGGGCAGAAAAGGAAGCGATCTGATCTCTGCAGCGGTAAGCTGTGGTCTGCTTGAAGGCTGAGGCTTCAGAGTCCAGACAGCTAGAAGGTAGGCCCTCCTCAAGAGCATCAGTCATTCCGTGTGCTTCTGTCTCCCACTGTGCGCAACGCACGTTCTTTCCTGGAAGCCCGGACTCACCCAGTGAGACCGGCAGCTGCAAGACCACTTGCTCCCTGGTGGCAAAAGTCAACAACAGCAAATGCCTTTCAAAATACGCCTGAAAAGTTTTTGTTACTTTTGAAAGGCCTCTGTCCTATATTCTAACCGGGAAACACACGAGCACCATCTCAAACTAGTCTGGGCGTATTTACTTGTTTTCCAAAAGAGAAGGAGCTTATCTGCTTGAGACGTAAAGGGCTGTCCCGCCGTTACAATGATACGGCAGACACACTGCAGTCTCAGTTTTCCTTCTACTCATCAGAGAGGTGAAGACAGGGGATCCAACTAACTCAGAGTCTAAGGACAGACAGGTGCCTCCGAGGGGCGACGGGGGTTGACTCACCTGGAGCCCAGAAAGAAGAATTCAGCTACAATGGCTAAGCTGATAAAGGAGGTGTGCATAAAGCAAAATAGTACAGACCCTTGTAGGTGAAGGTATAAGAGGAATTCACATGCACTTACAGGGTTCTCTAACCTGGTACTCAAAATAGTAGGCAAGAATTCCATGAAAATGTCTTCTACAAACTTTCTCTCCTGTTTCTCCTAGGAACGAAAGCTTGAACTGCGGAAGGCAGGGCCACAAACACCGATTGCATTCAGAGTAATGTTTTCTCTTACTCTGAATAAGAGCCTGTCTTAAGCAGGCACCCAGGAGAGGGGTGACATCTACACCTCTCTGGATTAGACTACTTCGAGCCCCATCACTAAAGGCTAAGCAAAAGGAAAGCCATGCCTGTGTTGAGGAATAAAACTGATTTACTTTAGACTTTATTGCCCTATCAAAAAAATTATGATGAATTAGAAAACAAACAAACAAAAAAACCCAACAGATTAACAGGAGACAAAGCAGTCAACACAGCAAGATTTAGATGTGACGCAGGTGTTGAGACTATCAGAGAGGGAATTTAAAATTGTGATTGGTAAGTTAGAGACCAGCAGAAAAAGTGGATACTGTACTGATGAAGTGTTGATTTCAGAGGAGAATAGAAGGGAAATGTGAGAAATGGAAAGAAGAAAAGAAAATAACAGCCACAGAGATATGGAATGGCTTTGAGCAGCTAATGAGTCAACTTTACACAGCTGAGGGAGGACTGGGTGGACATCAAGAGAGGCTGATTAATAAATTACCCAACCTGAAATACAGAAATAAAAGGGATTGGAAAACAGGACAGAACATCTAAGAGCTGTGGGATGATGATAAACAGGCTGACATCTGGGTTAATGTAACCCCACAATTATTGAGAGAGAACAAGGCAGAAGAAATATTTAAAGAAGTAATCATTGAGAATTTTTCAAAATTAATGACTAACACCACTATAGATCCCAAAAGCTAAGAGAACACAATGCAGGAAAAATCACAATAATGAAAACATTTCTATACATAGCATCTTTGTTTGTTTTTGTTTTTTTTCTTCAGGTACCAGGAATTGAACTCATGACCTTGCGCTTTGCCAGGCAGGTGCTGTGCCACTGAGTTAAATCCCCAGCCCCTATACATAGCATCTTAAAAACTTCTGAAAATCAGAGACAAAACATTGCTGGGTGTAGCGGCACAACACACCTATAATCCCAGCACTCAGGAGGCTGAGGCAGGAAGATCTCTGCAAGTTCAAGGCCAGTCTGGGCTACATAGTGAGTTCAAGGCCCACCTCTCCTACATAGTGAGACCCTGTCTCAAACAAATACAAAAACAAACACAATAAAATGCTGAAGATAGCTAGAAGAAATGGAAAAGAAATTTGTCAGGCAGAAGGACTATAGTACCAGCAGCAACTTGGATTTACATAATTAAGTGTGATGTAACTGGAACAAATGAATCTGAAAACCAAATTTGCTCTGAGACAGTGACAGTGAACCTTTTAGAGGTAAGTGCCCAAACTGCAACCCAAAACCCACTTATTTATTGCAGAGGGCCAGCACTGCAATTACACCTGAATACTGAAGTTTTACTTTAGAAAGCAATGCATACATTAACATCTTTTGTCTTAAAAGAAAAACATGCATGCCATAGGTTGTCACCACTGCTCTGACATAAATGGCTGTCTAAAGCAAAGGGAGTCCTGACATGTCATGTGCTCACAGTTGATAGAAAATTAAAATGCCTGATAATAATAGCACAAGGGATGAGGGGATTGAAAGTATATCGCCTTAACACTTCTACATAGTGCAGGAAGTATAAAATATTACTTGAAAGTAGCATCTTGGGGTCAGGGTGTGACTCAGTGGTAGAACATTTGCCTAGCACATACAAGGCTCTGGATTCAAGCCCCAGCACTGAGAAATAAAGAATCTCACTAATGAGAAGATTCTTATTTGTAAAATGTAGAGAAGTCAGTCATAGTTAAAACTAGAAGTATAATATTAGTGAATAACAGGGATAAATGGAAACATTAAAAAGCTCAAGTAACCCAAAATAGGACAACAGAGAGACAAAAGGAACAAATAACAGAACAAACAGAAAAGAGCAAGATAGTTGATTTTAACTCATTTAATCATTAATAGGATTAAATGCAAGTAGTCAAAACTACCAATTAAAAGATAAAGTTCTCAGACAAAAAGCAACATCCAAGTATATACTCTCTACAAAAACTCTACTATGAAAACGAGGATTGGTTCT